CGTGTTTTCACGTAATTAACAGTTGAATTTGAGCTCTGAGTTTACCAAGACGTGAGTGGCATTAATCGAACGCTGCTTTAAATTGAGATCAACTTTATTTTTTCTTGCGGTAACAACCGGAAAAAAACACAAAATATAAAAAGTTTTATTTCGGGAGATACTTTAGTGACGATCAAATCCTATCAAGCGTTAATTTCATTTCAACTAAATCCACTCTAGTCGCAAAATTGACGACGCTTTTTTCAACTTAATCGACACAAATAAACTAGATTTTTGTTGGTGTAATGTGGCAAAAAAGGCGAATTGTATACTAATAGTTATTTTTTTATGTAAATAAAAATACGTAATTGTTCGTTTTTGTGTTTCAATTATCAAATATTTTGTAGGTTGTACCCCTAAAAATACAATGTAATTAACCTTTCCGGGCGTGCCCTTTAAGCGGACAAAGTAATAATAAAATGCACAGCAAGAAACGAAATTTTTCCTGCATTAGACGTTTATAGCCCAAATAACTGCCATCAATTATTACGAAAAAAGCCACAGAAAAAATTAGAAAAACAAGAATTATTTTCCTCGTAAATTACCCAATTTTCTGTTAATTGAAATATGATGAATTTAAGTTGCTTAATTTAATCGGCCATTAGGAAAACAGACTGTAGCTTAATAGCTTAAACCGAGCTTAACGAAAGTGCAATACACATCTTATCTCGACAGTTGTAAGCTTCCACTTACAAACTAATAAATGTATGACAAAGTCAAGTAATCTCGTTTATGGTATAAGATAAATCCAAATTTGTGTTCTCCACGTTCGAACGCGAGAAATATGAACCGTGATCTAAATTTTCAAACTACACCTAGAAAATTTAACGTCTGGGAGATTAGAGAGGGTGTTGAAGTAGCAAACAAATGACGCGATTAATAAATATTTATCTTTGTTTTGTTGGCACAACTGCTACAAACCGTCGAGCTTAATTGCAAATACACAACTCGATCGAAAAGACATTCCAAATGCCAGATTTCAAGCCGTAAACAAACAGCTACTATATTTTAAAACAATTAGGAAAACTATTTCGAACGAAGGTAACAAAATTAATCAAAATTTAATTCGGAAGGTTAATTAATCATGGCGGGAATTTAATTAGAGTTAATCGAAAGATACGAATTATGAAAAATGAGTGGCGGTGACAGTTTTAATTGACCGCGATTAGAATGCCTTGTTTGCGACAAATTATACGTTTATTTAAGCCATTCGCCGCCAGCTGACGCTTTATGTAATACGGATGCAGTTTTTGTCAAGGAGTTTTGTCTCGAAGCAAGAAATTCCTGCCAGCAGCAATCATTAAAAAATTCAAATACTCATACAGGGTGTTCGAAAATTATTACATAAAACCGTGGTCCGTATGAAAAATGCTTCTAAGTACTTAGTAAAAGATAGACGTAATTTAAATTTTATGAGACAGAAAGAGACAAAACTAAACTATTTAAAAGCCTTTGCTACATTTTATTCATACTATCCAATGTCAAAATGCAAGTCATGTGTTTGTTCACTTTGACAAAAAAAAATCTATCCAATTCTTTTTGTTTCTTTGGGAGAACTTCCGCTTTAGTAGTGTTATTTGTTAAGTTCAGAATTACGCGAGAGACATGTTAAATCCGACTTTAATTTGGTGCAGAGAGCCGTAATTGTAAAAGAGTTGACAGCAAGACATTTCAGCGACTGAAGGTGTTTTCATGACGTAAAATTTTATGAAAAAAAGACAATTTTTTTCTTTTTCTTTTACAGATATGTTCTTGCTTTGAACACCCGGAATATCACAAGTCTGAGTGTTAAAGAATTGCCATCTTTTATTGCAAAGGCTTCTCGGGAAAATTATCCTCCGTGACAGTGTGTGTCGGAAAAACACTTTTCTTCCGATTGCTACGCAAAATTTCAAGCAGCTACAAAACAATGAAATTTCTCAATTTCCACGAAGAGACTTGAAATCATTGTAATTTTTCTCTTGACGCATTTCATAATATAGACATTAACACCGCACCGCACCTTTTCATCGAGTTTTCGTTTGATAGAGTAATGAAAGGTGTTTGAGTCAAAGAAATCGGATTAAAAACACGTAATTTAGTAAAAACATTGATTTTTTCAAAGAGGAATGATGCGGAATTTGCGTAATGTGGGAGAAGTGGATGGATTAATGAGATGGAATATTTCCAATGGTTTGGTCAACTTCGCCATTATCCCCACTTTGAACAAGGCGAAATGTAGCTTATATTCAATCAGAACTTCGACGGAGATCGATTTATAGACACGCAGACGAAATTGGGCAATAAAGGCTTTCAAATCAAATAATTTCGCTTGAAATTGGGTAATATGTGAAAAAAGGAGCCATTTCAGCACTGAAATGAGTGCTTTAAGAGTATTATATTCACCAAGAAGTAAATCCAGAGTATTGTAAAATTTAAAATTTTCTGTAGTGTCATTTTACCCAATCAAAAATCTGTTGACAGTATGTAAAAGAGAAAAAAAAAAGAACCAAATATTTTTATTTCTGTACCCTAACGTCACTTTGTTAATAATAATTTAAATCATTTAACATTACACATCACATAATAACATTCTGTACTTAAATGTCTAATATTCCTGCAAGTTAAAAGTTTAAATTTGTAATTTTGTAAACAATATTTTAAACAATAAATGTCTAAATAGCAAATAATTCTTATAAATATGACTTTACAAAGTATTTTATAACAGTAATTAAATAATTTGCTTACTAACTATGTTTTTAGAAAAACTTTTTAATTCAATAAAATTAATTATACAAGCTATTCCAGCGAGTTAAAAAAGTCCATTAGTGACCTTTAAAAGGTAAAATTAAAAAAAAATTGTATAGGACATTGATAGATATTAATCTAGTGCATCACCTAAAATTATTTTCAACCGCTACAGCATCTCCCAAACTTGTGTTTTTTTTAAATAAAACACCGTATGTTTCTTGGCATTTTTGGATGTAGCCTTTTAAAACAATGTTTTTACGCTAAACTTTTATTGGTCGATTCTGCTTAGTTTTAAAAATAAGACGGTTTTTTGACAAAAACATGCACTTTTTAAATAGTAATTACACAAAAACTAAGACAGCTAGAACACATTTTTTCTTACATCTGAAAAGAAGAAAGTACAGAACTTTTAAAGCTGTAGCAATTTTTTAGTGTTTTGCATTTACAAAGATTAATAAATTAAAAAGTTTGTTAAAAGTTAAATAACTTTAAAAAATTTAAATGGAACATTCTATTTTTTATTTTTGCATCTAATAGATTGATAAATTGTCTAACTAAAAAAAATAACTTTTAATGTCTAGAATTGATAAATAAAAAAATATTTAACATTCACTATTAATTGTAGCAACAATGCCTATCAGTATCTGAGCAATTGTTGATACTATGGTAATCATAGTAATTCCACCACGGATCACTTATCCGTTGATTTATTTAGATTTTTTTATTTAGATTGTAAAAGTCGTTATAAATACTAAAATTCAAATTATTTTATTGTAAAAATAAAGAATAATGGATTCAGTTTAACACAAATGTGATTATTAAGTGATATTTCTTCCATCTCTTGTGAAACTGTGCACTTTTTGGCTACTGAAATAATAGTATTTTTTTAATGTTTAACGTTAAATATCTTATTAGTTATTAATTATAAACACCTAAAAGTAAATAATTTTAGAAAAACAATTTAATAATTTTTTAAATTCAAAAACAATAAATAGGGTGCATTTAAATTTTGTTAAGTTATTCAACTTTTAACACACGCCCTTATTTTTTTATCTTTACAAATGCAACACACTAAAAAAATGTTACAACCTTATAGCTTGTACCTTCTTCTTTGCGGTAGTAAAAAAAATATTTCTATAAATGTCTTAATTCTTGGGTAACGAAATTTTAAAAAATGCATGTTTTCGCCAAAAAAAAACGTCTTATTTTTAAAAGTAAGCATAATCGACCAATAAAAGTTTAGCTTAACAACACTGTTATAAAAATCCACATCCAAAAACGCTAAGAAACATATGGTGGTCATTTAAAAAAACACAAGTATTGGAACTTATTTTTGAGACACGCTGTATAGTTGAAAATAATTTTAGGCGATGGACTAGATTAGTATCTATCAATGTCCTATATATTTTTTTTTTTAAATTTTACTATTTAAAGATCACTAATGGACTTTTTCAGATCTCTGGGACAGCCTGTATGTGTACTAAATTTTTAGTTGTTTTTTATTTCTTAGGTAAGTTATTTTATTTTTTCCGTTTTAAATTACAATTTTTTTATTGTTCTTTAGTTTTGTTTTTAAACATTTGCTGGTCATTGACCCCACTAGCTGTTTAGTAAAAAATTGTATTGCATACTGAAATAGTACTAAAACGAGTGTTTTAGTATCTTTGTTATAGACAAAGTTATTAAAATGTCGTGGGCACCATATTGTGGAAGATAAATTTGAATTTTATTAAAATAAAGCAATAACGACAAACCTCACTTCTACAAATGCTGTTTCCGAGTTCTCCCTTGACCACAAATCATATTTAACATCCTTTCCTCCCATTCCTCGTCCGATTCCAAATTCAAATATTGGTAAAATCGCTGAACAAGTTCTAAAGACATTCTTTCAAAAGTTTGAAACTAATAATGAGTTAACTTGACACGAAGATAGCTCCGATTTTAATTAAGTGAGTTATGTTTCATATATCCATCACAAATAATTAACTGACCGTTCTTCATTGATTTACCTGTTGATGGTAATTGGGCTACCCACATTATGGGAAATAGAACCCTCAAGCACTGATTGTTCGCTAATGGTGTAGACGCAATTAAAAGCCAAGATTGGGCCAATAGAAATATTATGAAGGTTTTCAATTAACGTGTATTCGATACGTCTTGTCCGAGCGCATATTCCTGCTGTTGTTGAATCCTGAAAATCCTGCAACAAGCGCGCCAGTTTATGCGCGTCTTCTCAACAAACCAGTCGAGGAACATAAGGTGTTGAGATTAGGTTGCGAACAGTTTCACATAAAATGGAATAAGTGAAATTAATTATGTGACAAAATTTATAAATTTGTGGTGAGTTTAACTCAATTTTCCATTAATGGAATGCGAATATGATGTGGCATAATCAATTTAAATTTACAATTCACAGAATGTCAATATTAATTTAATTTTGATTGGCATGTGTGAAAGTGAAACGTATTTTAGAGAAAAAAAAAAACAAATGAGTTAATTATTCCAAACTTGAAAGCTATGAACACTTAACGAGCTTTGTAATTAATTCAGCACGAGGAAGCTTCACTTAAAATCATGCAGATGGTAATGTTAAGATGTGTTGTGATTCAATTTTCATACACTCCATGAACTTGACAAATCGTCAGAAATTGAACGATAATTATTATAATACATTCATAAAATCTCTGGGAGTTATTCTGATTTTACGAGGCATAAAAGTTACGACTAAAGACTTCGGTTATTTAATATCCTGTTTTCGGGCAATTTTCTTCAATTATTTTTAAGACAGGGTATTCCTTTGAAATGTAGACCAAAGTATACAATACAATGTCACAAACAAACTTCTAACTAAATTCTATACAACGTGCAATTTGCCCGAGGTGATCATCAAATATCTGAGAAAGTTTACTTTGGAATCGATTTTGACATAAGTTTGAACGTAAATTAAAAAAAAGCAACTGCAGGGGATAAAAATATTGAAGATTCTGATCAAAATTGCTTCCATTCGTTGAAAGATATATTAAAGCTGTTGTAGTAAGAAACAAAATAAATTAATTATCTTCTAATTTAGATTTTTATAAATAGTAACATATCTTTCAAAAAAAAATTATTTCATCTCATTCACAACTTTGATAAATTTCAAATTCTATTATAATCAAAAACACAAATAGAAATTTTATAAGTTAAACAAAATTGTTTCTACTGTTTGATACTAATTGATCATTAATGTTGTTACCAACTCAAAAAATAGCGTCCTCAAAAACTAATTTTAGCATTTGAGTGCTTTAGACACAAAATTAAGTAATGGAAAACTTTTTGTGATTGCATAACAAAAAAATATTTGTTCTAAAAAATATCAGATCTTTTAATTTTTCAAATTTCTCTTAGGATGTAAAAAACTTTTTAATTAAGGTAGATTGCCTCTTAAACTCAAGTTGTGAAAGTTTTAAAATATGGATTTTTTGCATCCCCCATTAGCTAAATTACACTCAAATACAGAATTCTTTGATTTAAAGTAAAAATGAGAGTGCGGAGCACTCCTATTAGCTGCTAAGAAATAATCAACAAACTAATCCCTGTATTCAAACGCTGACAAGTTCGATTTTTCAAATAACATAAAAAATGCAGCAAACATTACAGATCTTTCTCCCTATCTTCGGTAACTGAGAGAGGAATCAATCAAGTATTGAAAGGTGTCCAGTAATTGCTTGTGGAGGATCTTTTAATTTCTTACAGCCCAATATTGATTAAGTGTTTTCTCATTGTTTGAACCATTTGTTTTCTTTCGATTTTCTACCAAATTGCGATTGTTCCATCTTCGCCGTTATCTATGACTCAAATGAGGAAGAAAATTGAAATTTTTGCCCGATTTCTGCATACGAAGAAAAATTCCAATAGATAAATTAAGTTAGTTGCAATAAAGTCAGTCGCATCTCAGTTATGGAAGTTGGGCGAGCTTTTTAATGCCAAGTTTGACTAAATGGGTTATTAGAAGCATAGCTTTGTCACCAAAACGGCCTCTTAGGTACGAGAGATGGATCGTTAATGTAACAATAAAGGAGTCTCTGCATCTTAGTTAATGCAAAATGTACTTTGCTTTGTTGATTTTATACGACGTGACACGATTCCGGTTTTGTTAGCAAATAAAACACTTTTATTTTTATTTACACCAAAGAGCTTTTGTTGATTAAGAAAACTGTATTATAAAATTAAGAATTTCAAACGAAATAGCCTGAAGATAAGATCCAACATTGTAACTACGAAACTCTTTCTAATTTTCCAAGGAAGTTGCAAAATAAAAGTGCAGCTTGCAGGAATAATGAGTTTGCGAGCAGCGAAACGAACGAAAACAAACTGTTTGCCATTTTAGAAAAGTTAACCTTGTTACAAGATTTTTTGGCCACAACAATAATCTTCTTTTAATTTTTATTTTCTACAACACTCTATTTTTTATTAATACAGGGTGTTTCACACAACTTTACGAGGCTTGCGCCTAATGTACGCACCCAAATATACAAGATTCACAAAACACTAGATACAAAAAATACACATTTAATTATTTAATCTTTGGAAACCCATGACAGTAGTTGTTTCATTAATAGTCACAAACTGCAGTTTTTCAGAAACAATTATCATTTGTTCTATCAAGAGTCGGTATGAATATGATTGTAGTTTATCTATCCTAATCACTAACTGACTTAAAATGTTGTAATTTTGTAAAGGGTGAACAAACTAGAGAAAATTCTCCAATTTTTAAAATTTGTAATCGAGTTCGTATCGGAATATGTATTATTGCATTTTACAAGCCTCACAAAATTATGTGAAACACCCTGTATTATTAATAAAACACAAATTTTCATACTAAACTAACTTTTTGTCTAAGTTAAAATGTGAAATTTATTAATTATTAAGTATTTCCTAAAGCAATTTTATAAATAAATATTTAAACCATTTAAAGCGCTCCAATGCCTTAATTAAATTTTAATGAAATTCTGTTTCTTCGAATTTTTGGATAAAAAATCCGAATTGATTAGTAACCTCTCTTCACAATCCACATTTATTAATATATTTTTTAATTTAAATTTTTTAATTAATTGTATGTTATTGTATTTTTATAAATTGTCAAAAGCACTTGAAAAGCTCTTATCTCATGATCACTTTCCGCCAACAATGCGTCTCCTTGAGCAATTTTCTCCCGGCAACGGCACCAATTTTAATAAAGTAATGAATAAAAAGTAAAAGTATTTACGACATCATATATGAGACACTGAAAACTTTGTCGTCTTTCTCTTAAACTCCACAAATGAGCCTCATATCTGATCCTCTCATTATTAATTCACTTCGCTTTTCTCTAAACTTGTTGTATTATTAAATTAAAAAAGGTTCGTTTACAAGTTGCAAAGCTTTACATGTTTACGAATTAAGTATTCAGCCATTTATATTATCATAAACTAATCCTCAAACCGTGCAAAGTGGAGGATCATATAAGGTGAAAATTCCCATTCATTCCCTTACACTCCAACCGAATTAATCTCTTCGCATTTGCGCCACACACCCTCTTCTAACGTGCAAATAAGGCCAATTTTCACCAAGCTTAATTTTGGGAAAATTATGCGAATTTTATTAGCTATCAAGAAAACCAATACAATTGTTTTTGCTTAAGAATTAAAATTTAATTTCCAATTTTCGTTTGGTCGATAATTGATAAGATTTATTAGCTTTTTTTTCTTATCTAATTCGGTAAATAAATACCAACAAATTAATTAAATCCAGTGCTGATGTGTAACACGTGAGCAAACCCTTGGAAGGTTTAGTTGTGTAAGTTGTTTACATAACTTTAATTTTTATTAAAATTAATTATTGGCACACAATTAAGCAAATCTGATTTTGAATTACCTAGTCGTTATGACAGATTTAGTTAACAATATGACGTAGTAATAGAATTTGCAGTATTGTGTCCACTTAATTTGCTTAATTAATGCTCACAGATCTCTGCTTTCATAAATTGAAGTTGCGTTTACATCAAAGCTTAATTATTTTAGTTTTGCGTCTCTTGAAGCTTTCAGATTGAATATCAAAAAATATATCCTTTCGTTTACTAATTAAATAATTTTTTTAAAAACAAACAAAAATGTTTCATTTTCTTAGAATTTGTTAAATCAAAAAATTATTGAAATTATAGGTATTAGATATATTTTTTTTTTGTTTTTCTTTTACAATTCATTTCGAGAGTGTAATAGTTAGACCTTTTAAATACAATTTAAATACAATTTGAAAAAAATTAAAAATGTATTTTAGTCAACACGCAAGTTATAGATTTAAAAAAATGTTATTTGCTTGTAAATATCAGCTCTTTGCACGCAATCCACCACTCTAAAGTCTATACTTATTTGGAAATTAACTTTGGTTAACACAATGCCTGAACATTGCTGATAATAGCTGGTTAAATAATTTCGGTCAATATTGACCCCAAAGCAATTCCAAATTCGATTTCAGCCAAATTTGTTTGTTTGAACAAATCAGAAAAATTGTACATGACGTGTACAATTTGGACATTGCTGATAAATTATGTTCTCTCATTACCAAATAGAGCTTTTGTGTTTATTATTTGTCTATTTATGGCTTTATTTAAGTCGCTGTTATCTCGAAATGCACGTGTGGAGCTTTATTTAAATTTCGCGCTCACTGATTTTAACAAGTGGCTGAGAAAATTTAGGATCGATTGGAGCTTTTTGAGGTTTTAGTATAAATGTTAGAAAGAGTGTTGTAAACAAACACACTTTAAAGTCGTTGAAATTTAAATGTTACTTCTATAAATTGTGATTAACACTGAAACCGTTAGAGCTGACGTGATTATATTTTAATATGAGGTTAAATCATTAACAACAAGTGCTGCAACTCTTGTTGACTGCCAACTTTCTGTTTAAACGGAAAATTATTAATTACACGTTGACGTTCCAGACAAAACTAATTACACTACTTTTATTTTGAAACGCTATCGAGTGCAAAGATAAATGGGTGTTACCTAACAAAAAATCATTTACTTTTAGACAACCAAAAATATCTGTCCTATTTCTTTCATTTTGCCAAGTTGCTTGCTTTAATTCCAAAGAACACAAATAAAATGCCTAACACATTTCCAAGTTTATTTAATTTAAACTCATCTCCCAAAACAAGATTAAACGCCAATTTGTAGATTTTTATCAAATCACCGGAACAAAACAATCGCGTATTAAATGAAATTCCGTGTTATTAGCCGGAAATTAAATAACTTCAACTATAAATTCCCCAACTGTCAAAAGTAATATTAGTCGCAAATAATCTCGGGTTTGAAAAATGCC